AGATCATAATGGTGGCAATGCTGCATACACACAGAGAATCTCACCAGTTACACCAAGTGGGTAGAGGCCAATGAAAAGGGTGTACCTGTAAAAATGATGCAGCATATTTAATCAGGATCATAATGACTAGGAACTTCAGTAACAATGAATTGTAAAATGCTAACCATAGTAACAATAGTTATAATTGCTAATATTTTTATTCATAAGGACTAAACATCTGAATTTGCATTCTATTTTATTTTTTCCCCTTATCAGCTTTCTGCATTATTTCTTTTTTAAAAAAGTAAGAAAAAAAGGAATTTGCATTATATCTTCTTTGTTTTTCTCATTATCAGCTTTCTGCATTCATATATCTATATGCAACTTATTGCAAATAAAAAACATTTAAATTTTAGCCAATTATGAACATGGGAATGATTCTATTACATAAGGAAGAAATTTATCCATATCTTATCTATAAACATACACAAAGAAACAATTAAATTACAGGAGTCAACAATGAGTACATCTTTTCATCCATTTTTACTTCTTGAATCTTACCTGAGAAAAGTGAGAATGAAGGGCACTTGTTTGAGGATATTCAAAAAGTAGAATGAATATCGAATCACTTCAGTCACACTCCAGGCAATCAAAAGCATCGGAAATCCTGTAATATAGAGGAAAAAAGGTTACAGATTAACCCACTGGATCCGGGTGCTTCGTTGTTGGCATGTGGCCCAAAATCTGGGAGTCAGTCTTGCTTAACCCCAAGCCACTGGGCATGGCATGTACACACATGCCATTGCCCATTGTGTGTGTTGAATTTAGTAATTGTCTTTAAATATAGATGGCTCCACAAGTACTGTCTCCGATGAGCCAATTATGTGAACTACCTGTCTAAACTGTTTATCCCTTTCCTTGATTTTCTATAATATTTTCTAATATCTAATATTGCTGTTCTGTAGAAGAGTCTTATGTTTTTTATGCAGATTTTTCAAGGTCTATACTCTATGCTGGATTAAAATGGTAATAAACCATTTCTCTTGCACAGATTCCATATCATCGCTCTAGGTCACTGGTTCCCAACCTTTTTTAAGCCCACACCATCATCATCATCATCGCGGTGCTAACACCAATGGGAGCGCATAGCCGCATCCACCCTCTGCTTGTACCTGCGAGGGTCCCTCATGGCAAGTCGCCAGGCAGGGATTCGGCCCATCTCAAGCTCCTCGCGACAGGTTTGATCGATCTGCCCACGCCACGACTTTCTGGGTCATCCCACAGGCCTCATCCACCCAGGGTTGTCTCGTGGTAGGCAGGATCATCCTGAGGGAAGCGATCACAGATTGTGAAGGTAATAGGTCCTGTGCCGTTCTCATGGTGCAACTGTTGGTTTGACACATGGTCCCGCCAACCCCATGATCCGGCGCAAGGACCTATTACAAAAGGCATCGAGACTTCAAGGCGCAGGATCAGATTTCACTACCGTATAGCAAAACTGGCCCTATCAGGGCCTTGAATACACATAGCTTGGTCCTTCTGCACAGGTACTGGCATCTCCAAATACTCTTGTCGAGAGAGTTCATGACCCCTGCTGCCAGGCCAATCCGTCTGCTGACTTCCTGGTCTGACAGCCCAGAGTTATGAACTACACTACCAAGGTATGTAAAGCTCTATGTGACTTCAATGTCCTCGCTGCAAGAACGTATCGACTGAACAGGTTCTCCTAGCAAGTCCCAAAAGTCCTGGACCTTGGTCTTGGTCCAGGAGACCTCTTATCTTATCTTACCAAGGGCTTCACTTCATTGCTGAACGCACCAAGAGCCACCACTAAAGATTCCAAAGATTCAGATAGAATAGCAACATCATCAGCAAAGTCAAGGTCGGTAACCTTGATACTGCCCAGAGTTGCTCCACAATGACTTTGAACAGTAGTTTTTTTCCCAGTAACCAGTCCATGCAAGTGTTGAAAAGTGTTGGTGCAAGGACACAGCCTTGCCTCACTCCTTAACTAACAGGAAAGAAGCTTGACAGGCCCCCACCACACTCTACAGCACTTTCAGTACCAGTATACCGACTTGCTATTACTCCAATAATCCTTGCTAGAATTCCTCTAAGTCTCAAGATCTCCCAGAGTGATTCCTGATGAACCATATCAAACGCCTTCTTGAGGTCGATGTAGGCTGCAAGCAGCCCATGCCCGAACTCACCCCGGCGCTCTATAATGACTTGAAGCGCTAAGATACGGTCTATTTTGGACTTACCAGGAGTGAATCCAGATTGCTCCGGCCTCTGATGCCTCAGTAAGTGGTCTCTGATACTTCTCAGAAGGATGTGGGCAAGAACCTTGCCTGGTATACTGAGTAGTGTGATGCCTCAGTGGTTGCTGCAGTCCCATCGGTCCCCCTTCCTCTTCCAGAGAGGGATGACCACACCCCTCAACAGGTCAGGGGGAACGGTACCAGACCACCAGATGGCAGCCAGGACAACATGCAACCCCCGTGCCATAAGTTCACCACCAGCCTTTAACAGTTCAGCTGGGATGCCGCATATACCAGCTGCTTTACCACTCTTCAGCTTGGAGATCACCCCCTAAACTTCAGCTAGGGAGGAAGCATCCTCACTGAGCCCGCACCCCTAAGAAAATTTTACTGTGTCCTCATACCCCCTTTAAATTTATAGCTTAGCAAAGGATAAAGGAGGTGAATTTATACTAAATTTGATCAACAAAAGAAAATAATCTCTTTCAGTTCTAATATGTTAACAAAAATCAAACATATGGACAAGAAAATGTGGTCCCAGATTATTTGAATAAACCCTACAAAAAATAATTACTTGCTTGAAATATCTACATTAAAAATCAAAGAACTAACTTTAAAATATTTACATAAATGAATTTTCAATTCAATGGCTCTTTTCTTCCTGTTTCTTGATTGTGAGCAATAAATAGAGTAGTTGCTTTTCTTAGTTGTTGGTGTTCTCCCCGGACCCAGCCTTCTTACAGTCATGGCTCATAGATGGTATATTCCACACTCATTTACCAATAAAAATAATGCAAGAGCCCCTTCATAAATGCCCACAAAGTCTAATCACCTACTAAGGGTTTTGTACACCCCTGGTATGTCATTCCTATCACCTTAGCTTTCAGCTGAAATTTTCATGATGGCATAGCCCTAAGCCAATTTTTTTTAAGAGAGCATATTCATGTAATCAGGCCCTTAGCCAATTTTTTTTTTTTTAAAGACATGTCACCCAGATCCAAGGGGATGAAAATCAAGAGCTGGAAACATTTTTTACTTTTAATGAGCAACATATTAATGCTCCTGTATATACAGGCTTACAATAAAGTCAGGAATTTCATTGCTCTTTTTCAAAGACTTGCAACCCTGGTAAGGAAACATACCTATACTGGTGCGTGAGTCCTCAAAAGAGTAGAGGATGGCCCAAGTCACCATCAGACGAGAGAACACCTGTGGTAGGACCATCATTACGCTGGAGGACACAAGACCGACTGCCGAGTGCAAAATCTGGTAAGTGGGAAAAAAAAAAAAAAAAAAAAAAAAAAAAAAAAGATGAAGAAGAAGAAAAAAAATCAACTCAACTGTGGAAATGTATAAATATATAAGAATGTATCTAATTTCTCACCCACGCAACCACGCACATTGATGATACTTCTTTGGAATTTGGAAATTTCCGGATGTACTATGAAAATACAGTAATCTACTTATATAAACACACATTAATAAAATCTATATCCATATCCATATCCATTTATCCATATAGTTGGAAAAAATATATATACATGTATAAAGTATTATGTATAAATATATATGTGTTTATATGTATATCCATATATATATGTATGCATACATGTACAATGTATTTGTATATTTGTAGTTATCATTCTATCTATCTATATCTATCTATACACAATCATATCATGAGCATGTTTTAATGGAAATAATGTATCAGAGTAAAAGTGTAAGAAACAACAGGATGTACAGAAAAAAAGAAAGAAGAAGAAAAAAAGCAGTGACCACACAATTCAAGTTTTTTCTCTTGAAGCAGATCAAGTTTTTCTTCCTGCTTTAAAAACAAAAAACTAAATTTCACTTCTCACAACTCTGTGCTTACTCAGCTACAGTATGCCAGATCCTGTTTTAATATTTCAAATACAACTAACTCCCTAAAGAATATTATCCTCATTAAGCATACATACACTGAACTATCCTACAGTAAGCTTCACTTACTGTTATTTCTTTTTAATCTTAATATTCTGCTACAATAATTCTACCATAAGATATGTATTTCTATTTTCTTGATTAAACTCTTTTACTGCTTACCTCTAAGACAGCCAATGTTTGGAAAATTAGAAGCACAGAATTGGTATTCTCCCATAGTCCAGTAATGTTGCCCTGCTCATGAACTAGATGGTGGATGGTCTGAATCAAGACAATCAACCACCTGTGGACACACAAGGACATTTTTTACTGGCTTTGCAACAAAAAGATTTAGAGAGAGAAAAAGACTTAAGGATTACAATCTTTTCTTTGACTGGCCTATAACTTTATGAATGCATTAAAATTTAAATTGTTTGTTGTTCTATTGAGTGTAGCAGCAACTACGTTCTCCTCATAAGATGAATGCTGTTGATGCTCACTGACACTTTCTTTACAGATTATCTAACAAGCAGCACCAGAGGAGATCCACAGCTCTTGATGAATAATATATAGCCTACATGTATTATTTTCTAGTTTCCAATGCAATATTAGTCAGATTCACATATCAGTCTAAGTATGCAATGCTGTATTTTTATACTTTTAATTTTTTAACAGAAAAGTGTGCATTTCATACTGTAAAGTTCTGCATTGTGAGCATGTGATGCCAAATAGAAAAGCAATGCTATAATTTCCATGTTCTTGAATAAGGTAAATCATTTGCACTACATAAGGCCTCTGTGCCCATTGATACTCCAGGAAAGGCTATCAAGCCTCCACTATATATATATTTAACAAGGCAGA